AGGTCTATAATTATTATGGTCTTCCCTATTTCCAGATTTAAAAAGAGGTATAACTTTGGTAAGCTTCATAAGATTTGGAAAAATCCTTCATCTATACAAAGATTAAATATATCAGCCAAGTATAAATATATACTTGGCTGATATATTTTAGATGTAAGATTGTTGAATACAAGTTTATTAATTGGATTATAATCAGAATATACATTATCCAAACAAGCTGTTACTCTAGTAGGCTCAAGAAATTGATTAAAAAGATTGAAGCTTTTAAATAATGATAGCAAACGAACGGATGTTGATCTGTTCACTAGAAGATCCACATTAAAATCACCACATACAACCAAATATTTGTTTTTGTCTGTAATTTTCTAATTGCATCTTCCATTACAGATTCAAAAGTTCCATAGTCACTATCAGGGGGTCGGTAAACACATACTAGAATCATACTATTTAGCTCCACAGAAAATAGCTCAATATGACGTTGTACTGAGAGATTCACTATATCTTTACGCTCCTTAAACTTGAAATTATTATTTACAAATATTAATGACCCACCTCGCTGGGCTCTCCTACGTGTATATGAACTGTGCATTTGATTTTTTTTAAATGAAATGACTTTTCACCATGCCTCAACCAATGATCCGTTAAACAATATGTATATATGAACATCATGTTCTTTTGCAAATAATTCTAAATCTTTACCAGTCAAACCCTGAATATTTTGGTGAATAATATTAAAATTAATAGATTTGACTGTTGTCTTACCCTTTAGTTCAAAACTGAGTTGGAAATGGGTATAGTACTATTTACGTTAATAGAATTACTAACACAGTAGTGGAACTTTGATATATCATCTATAACAGAATTTTGTAAATTGAAAGCTAACAGAGTAGCTATCCGAGTCCTGTTTAACTTTGCTAGTACCTAGCAAAGTATTTATTGTCAACTTAAATTTACGAATATATTTGTTAATGTTAAAATATAAATATCATTTCTATGATGAGATATCAAATTGTAGATATTTAAATTTAATTTATATATGCGTTCATTTTGTTCTTTAGTGTAGTTATGTACATAAGGATACGCACTAATTATCATTTAACAATTTGTTTCCGATTGAATTTTTAGCAACTTTTTAATATTAATTAAAATGTCCCGTGTTGAAGTTAAGGTGCTGTCACCACATAAAATAATAATGTGAGTGAAACTATCCAATTCTTGTGGTTTAATTTTATTAACAATTAACTTGGATATATCAAAAAGTAAGTAAGTAAAATATAAGGTCAAATTCTGAAGTGAAAAAGAATTTATTTTTAAAAGTCATCGATATTACGGTTCACGCTATAACAAAGAGCCTTTTTACTTTTCAGAAAACAGGATATGATTTCAAGATCTATATTAACACGTATTTTATGCGTGCTGTTTCTGTTCGTTTGGATATTCATATCATGATACGGTTATAATTATAATGAGAAAATGAATAGTAAGCAATGGTTGCTATAGTTACATTTTAATTTCCTATATAAACTTCCACTCCTATTTTCATTTCTGTATTTGTTGTTTTTTGGGATAACAGCTTATTGTTAACCGCATATGATGTCGGTTTAATTTTTAAAATTTTAAAAGTCCATTCGTTTCGGAGGCTATCCGTTGCAAACAAAAAAACAATAATATCTTTCCTTTTTATAATGTTAGTATAGATATCAATTAATTAAATCTTATTCCATTAATTATCTCCAGGTGCATAAAGTGCTGTGGAAAGCATATTAAGCGTATGGTCCCGGCCCCATTTGCAGTCGTTAAAACCACAGAACACAGAAGTGGTTAAAACCATTGTAAAATCAAAGAGTACAATGACATATGCACCGAAAATTTTTATGTTATAACCCACCAATTCATACTGAGCCTGCGTAGCGGGTCATGCCTATTCTCTTTTCGATTCCATAGATAGGGAACGCCTATGCCCTAGAACAAATTAGAAAAACGAAAGAAATTTAGAAAAACTTCTAATATTCCCAAAGTATGCAACATATTTTTTATATTTTATGAACGTATTTGCAGGAAAAAAATATAAAGAACAGTTAAATTTACTGCATTGTAAATAATAATTTACCTAAAACTTATTTTAACGGGCTATGTTCGATATGTTAAAAGTTATGCAGATGTTTGATAACAGGGTCAAAAGCGTCTTCCGGAAGACAATGTGTAAGGATAACAATAGCAAAAGGATAGTTTGGCAAAACTTTATGTTATATTCGAGTAGTGGCAACACTAATTTCCTTTTCCTTCTTGACTCTGCTGAGATCACGGTGTGTTGTTATAATTGCCTTGGTTCAAAATAAAAAATATTTTAACTAGTAAATGGTGTCTAAACGTGTATGGACCAACCCCATAACAAGTACAATACAAAATGATACTTCGAGCCGGATTTCTTGCAACAAGGGGAGTATACGCTTAGTTTTGCATTACCTAAAAAACTAACCTGGCCACATATATTAGAAAAATATTCTGATATAAATTAAGTGCAACAAGGTAATGAAAACGTGACATTAGACTATTTACTGAGTAAGGATCTTGAGCATTAATTATTGATATTAATAAAGCACGAACAAGAAGTTTATTTCAGTGATGTACTCAAGTTACCCAGCAAAAATGATAACGTGAAGGGCTCTTTGGAACTTTTGTATCCATTTATGAACGATACGGGTTGTAACGTGCATGAACCAACCCAATACAAGTACAGTACACAGGTTACACAAGATCTTAGCGAATAGAATATATTTAAAGAGGTCTACACTTACGCAGCCTTAATGATGTCATACTCAAATATATTTAATTTTGACCAATTCCCTGGGCAACAATTGCTTGAACCAAGTATAGTGAATAGATAAATGATCTGTTAATCCTTTGATCGCCTGAAGGTGGTTTATGACTTCTTTGATGATTGTATTAATCTTCAGTGATAATAGTGGACGTCACATGTACGTCACATTAATAATTATCATGTCATAGTCCAAAGTATAAATACAGCAGCACTTTAGGCCACAACAAACTGTTAAATTTTCACAATCGAATTTGAATTCTCTTTGCATTACCGCAATTTAAACCAAAGCTAGTCTGGTCTTTTTTTGACCTTCACTCTTTCCTCTTCGATCTTCACGCAATTGTAGGTATCATAACCAGACACTACTCATCCAACGAACACCTCTAAATAGGTTTTACAGCCTTCTCTGCAGAATGAGTATATTGCTCATGCCACCCTGCAACGCTAGAGCCTCGCAGTACTCCGGAGACACATACTAAGCAATCCATCAATATTCTGAGATGCCTATTAAGACACCAAAAAGTTTCTGCGCTTCTTGGCCGAGTTGGGTTGGTTCGAAGTAAGACAGCCAACTTTTCATTCACAATGTAACAATAAAAAAATGTATTTATTGGAAAAAAAGTTTAACAACGACTACCTACGATAATAGTGGCAGTAGTTAAAAAACGCATTATTAACTTTTACTATAAAGTCAGTATTGCCAATAACAGACATTTATTTAAACAGTTACTTAGTTCATTTTATTCAATACTTACTCATTGAGCTATCAAAGTCCTTAAGACGACTGTAAATTTTCTCAAATAGTACGTTGAGTACGTCATCGTCAAACTCCATTTGATTTTAAACAGTAACATGTTGTTCATAGTGTCCAAAATCAATTACGTCAAGTGCTGCGTGTGCATTAAAGGGCTCCAAAAGCTTATTATTATTAATATATTACTTAATACTTTTCTTTTTGCTACAAGTGAGCGTTCTTTTCTTCATCAATTTACTTAAAGAGTAAGACTACGCATTATCTATGAGTGAGACGATATCTTTAAACTTTATATTAAGATCAAAATATGTTCCATATTATAAATGTTTTAATGGTTTGATTTTTTGTGGAATTACAAGGTTGAAATGTCACAGGCTTTTACTTCATCTCATCTCATTCCCATAGACCGAAGAAATCACTAGTAAACAACTAGTCTTTGATAAATTCAACAGTCTATTTTATTATACTTTGTTGCTATGTGTCTTACTAGAAACCATGGCTATAGTATATACGTTTATTTTATGATTAAATATTATCAAGTATACAACGAATCAAATAAAAAATCCCTAGGATTAAGAGATATAAACAAATTGATTCGAATATTACATATACCGACAATGTCAAAACAAATTTGGTTGGTATGAATTTTGTAGATTATCTCTAAGGTATTATATGTATATATCGAAATTAATATGAATTTATGTTCATTTATATGTGCCTCTAGTTACAAAATAAAATGGCTCCCTTCAAACATTGTCCTTAGAAACATTGTGGAAGTTCATGGAAATGACTGTAAAACCTATAATTGTATACCTGTATTTATCTAAGTTTAAAAGTAGGAGAAGTAGGGATTCCTTAATTTTCTATTTTATTTTTATTCCGAATATACTTTGGCATACTCATATCATATTTGTTTATTTAGAATAAAGCCTAACAATGTTTCGGATAATGTGAATATGTTAGATTAGGTTAGAACTGTGGCTAAAACAAAAAAGCAAAGTGCCTGCGAGTGCCATATGTGCAAGTTGTTATATGTATGATTTAGGATGCTAGCTTGTATGCTTAAAAATATATACTTGAGCTGTTATGCGTTGATATAATTAGGTTAAAAATAAGTGTGTCATGTCATGTTATTTTTTAAAAGGAGGGATCAGGAGGGATTACCCATCTTTCAGACGCAACACGCCTAATTCTGGCCTCGTAATCTGCAAATTAAAAACATAAAATTGACATTAAAAATATAAGCAAAGAAATAATGAAAAGAGGAAGACACAAAATTATAACGAAACTCATAAATTACTAGGGAAAGACACGACACACATTTATGGCTTTCATATAATAAGATATGTAATAAAATGACAATAGATAAAATGATAATGACATGATATATAAAAGCTTAAAAGAAGTGCTAGTTACTTAACAAACGTACAAACTCAAAGATGGCAAGTTGGCAGTTCCTTGGACTTCTTCTTATTGCGGGTAAATTTTATATATTGATATTATGGTATTTGTTTGTTAAAATTTCATTTAATTAAAATTACCAATCGTTGATAATACTTTAAGACAATGAATTTAAATATATTTTTCTTGTTAATTTCTTAGAATAAATATCATTAATGTAACTGCTTTAGCGTGTTTCTTGAAAATGTTGTTTCAAGTCGTAATTTATTTTATACCGCAGTATCTCTGTCGTTACGAGGTTCGGTTGGTTAGATATTTAAAAAATAAGTGTTTAAATGTAAATGTTTTCGGAGTGTAATATAAAGGAGGTTATCATTTCAAGGTGTTTCTAAGTAATTTCGTTGGAATGGCGTAATATTCATATATTTTTGTCTGTATGGGCTTTTAAAAACGTGTGCTTAATTTTATAGATGATTTTGTTTCATCAAATTCAGTAATTTTGAAGATATATTATTAAAAGTTAAGCTTATAAAAGGAATAAAAATTTAAAAACAAACTTATTATGAAAAAAATTAAACCATCTTCAATAAAAATCGTATTTTTTCTGAGGTCGATGCCAGCCGTGTCATTATGTAGTTAGAAGTAAAATAGCACTGTAAGAATATGTGTCTTAAGTGATTAACAATTTTTTTCTTATTCTTTTTCCAAATAATTTTTTCATATAAATATTACACACGTATCGTGCGTTTTGATTTTATTGAAGCCTAGCTTTTGCCTGCATGTTAGTGTCGGCAGCATGTCTAAAATCGCAAAATTTATGTCTCTTTATTACATTTTTTTAAGCGGTTTAATTTTTATATATTTTATTTTTTATTTTTAATAATTTGAAATGAAATTTAAGAATATATACAAAATTGTCCAGCACGTTTGTCCAGGGGTCTATTTTCATTTGTTGTTACCTAGTTTATGTGTTCTAGAAACATACTGATATATACATAACTAGTGATGTGATGAAGGTAAACGCTTAATTGGGTGAATGCTAAACAAATATAACTAATTTTAAAATTTAATATTTCAGCTACCGCCCACGCCAGGTCCACCCGTATTATCGGCGGAACCTCAGTCGGCATCGAAACTCATCCCTCGATCGTCCAAGTAGATTTCAACGTTGCTGGATTCATCTGGAACCAACAGTGCGCTGGCGCTGTCCTGAACAGTCTTTATATCCTATCCGCTGCTCATTGCTTCGCTGGACCGTAAGTTTCACTTGAATTGTAATACATGAGTACCTCTATATTACAGCTAAAATCAAACGTTTATATACAACGTTTTAGTTTAAATCCAATATCAGCAGAAAGTTTAAGTTTATCAGTATAATAATGAAACCCTTTGTATTCTTATACGCTAATATCAGTAGTCTGTAGTTGTAATGATAAAAATAATTCGTTTATTACTTATACAGTATTATCTTTTTGTATATTAGAAAAATTATAAGAACCAAATACACTGGTCTATTCATCTTCTTATTTTCTATCAACGAACCATCATAATTTCTATTTGCGCATTTCTTTATTTCTTCCTTCAGGAACTACGCACCGGCCAACCGTCGTATTCGTGCTGGTACCTCAACACGTAACGAAGGTGGAATCACCGCTGAAGTCCAAGAAGAGTTCAATCACCCAGCGTTCGGTGAAAACGGCAACGATGCCGACATCAGCGTCGTGCGCCTGGCCACTCCTCTTCTTTTGAGCAATAACATCCAGCAGGCTCCAATAATGGCCGCAGGATTCGTTTTACCTGCGGGGTTAACTGTCACTTACGCCGGCTGGGGAGTGACCTCGGTAATTGTTACTATTATATTGTTCAGTGAATTGAAATTGAACGGTTGAAATAACCGATATGATCTATACTGATAATTTTTAATATCCACATCCCCAATATTCACAGTATCTTTCTTACAAAATTCTGGTTAAGATTTTCTCTACTCATAATAGAGACAGTATTTTTATATTTTATATATATATATATATATATATATATATATATATATATATATATATATTAGGCATTTTTTTACTATTAGTTTTTTTGAAGCATTGTGGATAGTTGAGAAATACCACTTTTCTCTAAAAAGCTTTTATTCAGCTCATTATATTGAGTCACTTAAATACAGTATAGGAATTATTGAAATGAGAAAAGTTTGCAAATATTCTATTTTCTATCAGGTCCTTACTGGTGAAATTGCTACTGAACTACAAAGCGTGAACACCGTCGTGGTTGATCGCGAACTTTGCCGTTTGCAATACGCCACTCTTCCTTCAAACCCCGAAGTCACTGAAAACATGTTATGCGCTGGCAACATCGGTGCTGGTGGTATCGACGCCTGCATCGGTGATGGTGGTGGTCCCCTCTACTTCGACAACATCGTAACTGGAGTCATCTCCTGGGGTAACGGCTGCGGTGAGGCCGGCTTCCCTGGTGTCAGTACTCAGGTGTCTTCGTTCACCGAATGGATCATCGCCACTGCTGTCTAAATTGATTTATGTTTAATACAATAAACGATTAAAGTTATGATATGTTTGTGATTTTATTTTAAACCATCTCTTGGAATATTTTGTTAGAATAACATTATTATATAGTTTCTCGAAATCAAGATAAAAAGTACGGAACTTTCGAAATATTTCTCTGTCATTACTTCCGTAAAAAGTTCATGTTTAATGTAATATTAATACCTTAGCAAATTTGTATTTTATAACTTCCTTATTATTGTACCCTATCACTACAGGATTGAGGGTTAACTGAACTAATCATTGACATAGTACAAACCTGCATTGAAAAATGAACCTTGATTTCTCGTAAGAAAAGAAATATTGAAGTAATTACTTTCTATCTATAATTTTTTAACGATGGAAAACGCATTACTCATTGCAAAGACATCGAGGTTATGTGTGGTTCTATGCTAGAATGTACAAGCAAAGTCTTCAATGCCCACAATAATTTTATCAAGTATTTCATGATAGCGGGCGTCACAAAAAAGATTATTGGAAAGATTAAGATATTTAAAAATTTATTGCCATTCATCGTATATTTTATTATTCATTTACTGTATATTATATGTATGGTAAATTGGTGACGTAAGTAATTACACGAGCATATATAATAAATAGAATCCTACATTACTTTGCGGCAGTACAAAGCTGTAAGTAAAAAGTAAAAATGTACAGTTCTCAAGACACTGACGAAGTATTCTCAGGATTTGTAACACATGCTCTGTGGGATTATAACTACATATACATAGTAAACGCTTGGTTTATTATAATGCCAACTAACGATGTTACACATGAAATGCAATTGTTTCTCTGAGAAATTTATGATACATAGAATAACGATATTAGTTTGCGCTAGAACCGGTTTAATTAAACTATCAACACACATTATATATTGATCTTTAGAATTAATATCGATATTGTACAAAATACGGTTGTGCACTACATACCCTAATCTACTGTTTATATAATAAATGTGCAATGATTAAAAAAAATAACTATAAATAAGAAATTAAAGAATGCATATTTTGATAGGACTATGTTTTGGCCTACAATGTCGTCAGTGTGGAATTTGCATTACCCTATATCTCCGACATTCGATACCCAGTCTATCACCAATCGTTTTTGAAAACATTGATCAGTGGCTTTAAAGTTTAGTTTTCTTTATGGGTGCAAACGGAAGTTAATTTCTTCCAAGATAGACTTGAAATTTGGTCTCCCGAGTCTAGAAAGTCACCGCAAGTGTAATGACTTACTATGTTTACAAAAAATCTTCCTACTCTGATATAGATTCGTTAACCTTGTTATCATGTCTTAATTTCAAAACTAAGTTTAGATATCGCGATGTAAGCCACTCAGTGATTTCCTTGAAAATAATTTCAAGGAAAATTCCTCCACTTCACAGATAATTCCTCTTATTAGAATCTACAAGATCGAATGAATCACTACTACAATGACATTGCTGTGCTTAACAAAGTAACGGATATTTACCACTTTTCACTTGGAAAGTTTAAAAAACCGTGAAAGAGTTCTGCACCTCAATAAGAGAATAAATAAGTACTTTAATGATATCATAGGATATAATTTTGTTTCCCATTGTAAAATATTAAAAAAGACTGCGCTCAGATATGCTAATTAGCATAGTTTTAAAGTGTCACTTTTTGAATTCAAATAACTTTCTATACTTTTTTGTTCTGTGATAATATCATTGGATAAAAGGGTGAAACGTTTCTATGAAACTTTTTTTTGATTGTAACAATATCGATGAAAATTGTTATTTGAATAGTTTAAGATCCTGTTAAGGTAATTGGTTATATTTTATCCCGAAAACCAGAACTTAAAGGGATGAAAATGGGTATGGAAGTTTTCATGGGAAATATGGGGACATGGGGCATAATGTTACCAAAGTAACCATTGCTAATTTATTTATTTAATACTTAACAATGACATTTTATTTTAAGACACGTCATACCTATACATTATTGCGTTTTAAAACAGCGTAAATTTTATTATGCTAGCGTAACATTAGAATACAACCACAAAAAGAGCGAAGAAATCAGAAATAGTTATCTCCCTATCAGAATATTCAGCATACCACTTGTTAGAACGAGATAAACATACTTGCATTGACTTGCCTAGTTTTAAGTGTCAACTGCTGCATCCTCATAGAACACGATACACGAAAAAATGGTCACGTTCAATGGCGTTTTATTATTTTTGTCAAAATAAAACAGAGTAAGTCAAGTACTTACGCATAAAATGATATCATTTTTGCTTTTCCAATTGTCAATGTATAATTTGTGCATTGTTTTAATACGCAGTAAAACATTTCTTTTCACAGAAAATTACGAGTGAAAACTATAAAATGACACTTGATCAATTTCCAAAATTGAAAAATTTAATTCTGTTTAAACATTTCGCATACCAATTTTCATTAAGCGTAACCAACTTTTTATTATATTGAACCGTCTTCGGGGTTATTAGCTCTCAAGTCTATATGACCAACAGTTTAGGATTCAGCTGACACATATGACAGTATGCCAGGACAAAGATTAGTAATAGGTGTTAGATTAATAGATTAAGGTTAATTGAAATATTATCAAGGAGTTTTATCAACATCATAAAAGAGTTCTTTAAAAGTAATTAAGATAAACAATCATCAATAAAACTGCTACCGTATGATAAGCTATATAACATGTTCGCCGTACAAAAACTGGATTAAATGATTAGACATATTACGAGTACTAGTTATTTACTTCGCACGTTCTACCCTAAAGTTCATTTTTCATTCATTCATTCGATCATTTACACGATTAGCCCAAAGTTCTATTGAATTATGTTGTCATCGTCTTAGATTGAACCATTTATGATTACCATCATTAAGTTAAAAATGCCTAGGTTCGGTTTTATGGTGAATTGGTCAGTGGTGTCTACGTTGCACCTATTAGACCAAGGTAAAGCCGCATCAGCAAGTCCCTAGTTTTTCAGTGTCCGAAGGCCTCTTCTGTTCCTGCAAAAACGAATGCGTATGTTTTCGAAATACTAATACGACTCCAAAAAACCGTATTCTTTATATAAATTACTGACGCTGCCTCTGATGAACAGATAATCTTCACGGATATGATTTTAACTAAATTCTTAGAACGTTCCTATATTTTACAAAATTCCCACAAATAGAGTATCCTATTCCATCAATCTGACGGTTAATTCAAGTAAATCTAATATAAAAACGGAAAATTGGGGCAGTGCACTAGATTTGTTTCTATTCAAATAAAACTTAAGGACATTGGTACCATACTAATATAATATTAACTATCTCGATTTTCTTGCTGATACTATAAGTCAAGAAGATGAATTATTTATGATAAATAATACAATTATAATACGTAATCCATTATCTATAAACAGATTCAGTCCGTTTTAACTACATTAAGTACATTTTTTCTGTTGTTCTATCGTTTACAATTTTTATCATGTTTACAAAAACTTACTTAAAACAATTTAACGTCATTAGCTGTAATACCTTTATTAGTCATCATATCAAGTGTTATGAAACAGGGGTAACTTACTAAAGTCAAAGATGGAAATTTAAAATTAAATAATTTATTTACACAAAAAAAGGGGTATGACGTGTGTACTGAAGTGAGTAGTGAAAAGTGATAGGCGTCAGCGGTGTAGGTGGTCCGGTGAAGGGGGCGTTGGTCAGCGACGAAGGTCCGTTGATGATGTTGATGGTAAAACTAAAAAGATGATCGATAGGAACATAATTAGTGATATGCTTACAAAGTATGATAAACATACGAGAACACATGGTTAGTTACAACAGAAGCTTAAAATTAAAAAATTAAAATTCTGAAATGGATACTCTAATATGTGTCGAATAAATAATTTATTGAAGAAGAATGTCAAAGATAATATCAGTACCTATACGAAAACAAAGTACTAGAACAAATGTAGGAACTACGGTTAACAATGTATATGCATAAGTGAATGAGATGGCAAATCTTTTATGTACTTTGTTGAAGCGTTGGAGAATATGCCTATGACTTACAAAAAAGAGTTCATGTAGGTAGTAGCAAAAACCATAACATAAACTCCTTGATTGCAAAAACTAGAGCCGGAAAGCGCAGTACATAATGTGTTACTGATTCCAACCCTAATGTGTCGAGGCCAGAATTGGCACGTGAAAAGCATGCAAGTGAATATACGAAATTGAGATGTACGAGATTAGGAGTATGGTTTGTGTAGCAAAGCTCGCAGACTTCATCCGTAACGAGAGAGAGAACGTGAAAAATCTCCACTAATAAACGACACGCAATACTCATAAATAAAAGTTTAAGATTAACGATAAAACATTTTGACGTATACTTTTGCAATACCATTCTAGACACTAATAATCATGGTGTCCGTTGTTATTTATAATATAATAATCAGTAGCAAAGCCAAATAGTTTTTTAACAGACGGAATGGACTCATGACGACTGGAATACTCACGCCCACACGTATGCTAGTTTTGAGCAAATGTTCAACTTAAAAGAACAATAAGCACATGCATGTGTAAGTGTATAGTAATAAGTATGCTTTACTCTTTCGTACTACTCCTGTGCCTAGACGAGCATGCTACAAATGAGCATGCAGCAGAAAACAAGCGTACACTTTTATTAATTTGTTTATTTATAGATGTTGTACACATGAGAAAAATTTAAATATACTTAATATTTTTTTTTTTATAAATATGGAGCTGCCCTGCGATTCAATAAAAAACCAAACCCGAATTCGAATTCACTCAGGTCTCCGTATACACCTCAAAAACGGCATCCACTCAACATTTAATTACTAAAAACGTTTCGTGGCATAAGTAAAGTGAGTTTCGAAATGACAGGAATACCGAATACTCGTATCTAAGACAGGTATATTCAATCAATTTTGTTTTGTACTTTTATACAAAAAATTTCTTCACTCGATGGCGTGAACTCGAACACATGAGTGAATTCGATGTCGGGTCTGGGTTATTACAGAATCGCAGGGCTGATGTCACTATCGAAGGCGATGGAGTACATTGAAAAGTATAATTCAGTAGCACTTGTCGCGGTAATTGATTAAATTAGATAAAAGATAATAAAAATAAATTTAACTCTTCGTGAAAAAAAAACACAATTTTTATGATGTTCCGTATAAATTATCCCGTCTTCTAGATACTTTTTATATAAACAAATGTTATACAATTAGTACAACACGAAAAAGTGTGTGCAATTTTATACATAGTTTCCTTCGAGAGTCCTCCCCCATATTTACCCAGTAGATACAACACAAAATTCTTTAATGTTAACATTACACAATTAATTGATATACACTTAAAGTAACTATATGTAACAATTTGCGGCTTAATCGTTCTAAGCGATTTCTTCCAGGTACTCCAGAGTGGATGATTCAGGTTTAAATTTTAAAGTCATCGGTAAGGAAATCAGTCTTAGAATCAGAGGTAGGATTTACTTATATCATTAATAAACAAAGTAAAAAAAGTATGGACTCAAATAGGAGCCTTGTAGTTTCGTATTAATAAAAATGAATCAACCGGCTAGTAAAAGAAGCTCGATGGTGCGTTCGGTCTAACATGAAGAGTTTAAGCAATTTTCGCAGGGGCTGATCACGAGATGGGTGACCAAAAATGGAAAAAATGTAGTCAGTGCACAACATTTTATATTTTATTAGTTACGGTGTACTGCTACTTATGATAACTATACACGGAGGTTGATGACCATTTTACCCGACTACGGCGAAGCAAAAATTTCAAATATGTATATTTTATAGCGATAGCTATAATATAATAGCGACAAAAGGGCAGCTTAATCGGATACCACTGATCATAACGAAACAAACTGTTCAATTGCCGGTCGTGTTAATGTAGATAATAATCTATTTTATATTGTCTCGGTTCTAGGTGTTGTGGAACCTTCATTGTCTTAGATACACCATTGTACAAGGGCTACATAGGCTGATGATTAAGGAATGTCTCCTTTTCTACACATCTGAAGATCTCTAAATACATACAAGGAAATGTAGTCATCCTCCACAGTGGGAAAATACAGTCATAAAATATAAATGATAAGAATCAATATAAAAGTCGTATATACAATATTATATTCACTTACGACTGTGTTACCAGCTGTGGAAAATATGGCTGCCCTTGTCCTTTTGATCTTAAGCCTTTTATCAGGTAAGCGAATACTGTTAGTTTCTTATATATAATTCCTAAAATAATAATCTACACCCTATGAACAAATCCATGTAACATGTGATACATTTACTTGAGTGTTATAGATAATGTATAAAGTGAATTTTGTTACTAAATGTTAAATCTGGTCCAGAATTTCAATCCTATAAGATTTTTAGGTATACTTCTGTAAAATGATTCCCAGACAATTTTGTAGATTTCTATTTATTTGGTGCATTAATTTACGAAAGTGCAAAACTATGATATACAGAAACTTCCACATCCATTGAGTACTTGTGATAGATACTTGTGCACCATCCGCAAATCAATACACGTGCACATACGAAAACAAGTCTCGCAAACACCGCCAACTTTACATTTCACAGATTAACTCTAATAATGCCACAGGAGATCATTCTCATAATAATTTAATTTTTTTGAAAACTCGGTATACGGAGGTCGTCAGATCGCATGTCACCATTTCCGAGGTCTCGGGTTCGATTCCCGGTCGGGTCAATGTAGAAAACGGCCTTTTCTATATTATCTCGGGTCTGGGTGTTGATAACCTTCATTGTCTCAGATACTCTATACGGGATACGGGATCTTTACCTAGTCATCTTGGAATCTGAGTAATGTATGTGATGTTGCCTTATATTTACTGTCATGAAATTCAACACATTTTGCTATTACGTATCAACAGGATGCAAATTTTTTTTATTGCATTTTTACGAAATATAAATAACATATAATAAATATAGTATGGGAGTACAATTTGATTGAAGTTACCTACGTTTGTGATAGAATTAATCCTTTTTTTTTTCTAAATAGTTTAAGAATTGTAACTACACCCTGAATGAACTGATTAATCCAAACATTTCCTTTTTAACTATAGTTTATGGATAAATCATATCTATGATCAGCGTTGTCACCTAATAATGTGTTTTATTACCTATTTTGTAGAGGATTACAAAATAATAAATATATCAGATAATGTACAACATATCATACATTATAAAGTTAGTGTCTTACAAGCGTTATCGCTTACTGATATATTTTACAAACGATATATAAATAACATTATTATAACACTTTAGATTTTTTTTAATGTTACTGTATACCTATTTCTTTTAATGATTCAATTATCACCTCAGAATTTTTTTATGTACTTAGCTACACGAATGTTTAAAAATGTGCCATATTGATTCATCCGTTCTCCAGGTATTCAAACGTAGCAATGTGTTTTTACCAATTCATCTATAATACGAGAAAAATATGTAATCAGTGAGCAAAGTCACAGTCAAAATAATCTTTATTCATATAACTACTTTAATAGTATATAGAATAGTTATTTTGAATCGTTCAACATTTCTTTCCTATCACTCTTTTGGCTGATTATAAGAACAAGCAACGAAGCTCACTCTAACAGAACAGCTCTAACAGAAGGAACTCTAACTAAAAACCATGCCATTACCATATTAATATTACCATAATATAAATATAAATTGTCAGCAACAACTGCGTTTTTAGATTACGAGATCATTTTCCATTAAAATATTAATGACAAAGAAGAAAAAAATCATTGTCTCTACAATGTTGACATAAATACTACATTAATTTTGAAATTCATTAAGTTCTTAATGAAAAATGCTTAAAACTGCAAAACTGATCAAATATTGTATAATAAGCTTATTGGAAATCACTTATCAGGTGGCAGGAACACCTTAAGTGCAAGCATTTCTATCTGCTGCTTTATTTATCAATCACCATTGGCTTTTTTGACAAGAATTTCTCAATAGTACATTTAAATGTATTAGTGGTATATTGCTTGATACTTTATTGTATGAGCAAAATATATTATAGAAAACAAATTAGTATTTTAACGAATGTACATAAAGTTTTAATATGTATATTGAGAAGCAACAGTCATATCTCTTTCTTTAAATTTATCTCTTAATGAGTCCCTAGTCCTGAGATTATAAATTGATTTTATTTAGTGTTGCCCTAATGCAAGAACAAGACGAGACTTGGCTAATCTTGATCTTGGTCTTGCGCCAATACACCTGGTCTTGGTCTTGGTCTTGCGCTCCCAGTCTTGGTCTTGGTCTTGCAGCAAGAGTCTTGCAAGTCTTGTAATTACCTATTAGACTATTGCTATAATAACTGCCACATGGTTATCAACTGAGCTATATGCCGTTTTCCATGGGAGTAACTGTTTCTTAATAAACATTTACGCTTTATAAGCTTACATGTGCTAAAACATGTAAAAATCAAATTATTTACAATAAATTGACTGTATTTTAAAGAATTTTAAAAGAGTTTTACGATTTATCATTTATTCCAATAAAAAATAAAATACAACACAAATCAAATAACATAACAGTACACAACAGCTTTGTCATTAGGTTCTGTTACTTTATATCAATTCTTTTGACCAAGAATTAATACAAAGTAACCATCTGGCTGACTCATCACTTAACCTATTTCTATGTTTTCTAATTACTAATGATGCTTTAGAAAGTAATCTCTCAGCAGGTACTGAAGTTGCAAGTATTGAGAGAAAATCACGGGCCATCTTCGATAAAGTCGGATACTCTGTCTCATGCGTTCTCCACCAATCTAAAATGTCTTCCGAGCTGGCAGCTCTTGGTTTTCTCAGGTACTCCTCCAACTCGTCTATCACTATGCCTTGAAGACAAGATCCAGATGACGTCGAGGGACATTCATACAGCTTATCAAAGTCTATTACGTCTTCATCTTTATCACATACCTTATTTTCTTTTCTTGGTAATTCCAGAGATTTGTTCAGTGAGTGTAGACTGTAGTATTCTTCATAAGGTTCATTGAACTTGCGCAGGCTTTCTGTTTAAAGTTGCTTCCCCCATATTGTCAGGTCAAAAGTCTGAGCCTTATGCCTTGGGTCTAAAATTAAAGAAGTACAATAAATCCAATTGCTCTTCTTATAATGTTTAAGCATTTTGTCGCAAGCTGCTTGGAAAGCCAGAATGAGCCTTTCATCCACTTCAGATCGATTAGGTTTCTCATCTAACTGTTTTACCATGGATTCAATTTTATCGAGCAAGAGATTGAAGGATACAATGACTAGCTGTAATGTAACATATTTTTCTCCACCAACTTTTGTACTTAAAAGTTTAAAGTTTATTAGAAACTTATGTATTTTTTCGAGTATTTGCCATTCACTAACTGTGATTTGAAAATCATTCAATTTGGAGACAGAACTGCATAATATGTTAATGCCCGCTCTCACTTTTAAACCAAATCCAATCATATCATGTGTGGAATTCCATCTCGTTGGACAGTCAAGAATGGGATTCAGATTTGATGGCACGCCAGCTGCTTCACAAGCAGACTGAAACTTCTTCTGCACTATTTCACTTCACTTCTTTTTATTTTACTGGAAATACTGCGTAACTTTGTTACAGATGTACGCGAGTCAGCAATATTTGGTGCATATTCTTCATCTTCTTCAGTTTTGTCTGCATAGTCTTCATACTGCTGATCTTGCGCGTTAGTGTCAGTCTCACAGTGTAATGCTAAGGTCCTTAATAAATCTTGTACACCAAGGTTTAAAATGTGAGCAAAGCACCGGAAATGTTGATTGTCTGAATCAAAGTGTGGTGCCAGCTGTTTGCCTAGTTCATACATAAATTTGCAGTTGCGTTGTCGACCGTGATACCTTGTATTTTATTAATTATCTCATATTCCAATAAACATTCGTGGAAAATCATTGCAATATCTTCCCCAGTATGTCGACCGTGTGATGGTATAGAATCAAGAACTACAGATCGATACTTCCATTCGTTGTCTATATCATGCATAGTAACCCCGTAGTAACCAGCAATTGACGTCCGCCTATCAATGGTATACGACATTTTAGATGATAATTGTTGAAGTCGTTCCTTGAGATTCAATTGGAGCTCTTCAAATCGCTCTTTGACTTTCCTTCTAACTGTGGACCTTTTAGGAAACACCATATTCGGGAAAATACGTCGAAAATATACTTGTGTAGCTTCGTCATCGAAAAATGAGAAAAGAAGATATTTTTTCACCACCCAATCAACTGTAGCTATCGTGATGTTGTCACTACTGTTTTCCGACTGAAATAAAACAATAAATCTTGTGTTATTATTTAAAACATACTAGGTTTGAGCGTTTAGGAGGAGGAGGTTTGTTGTTGTTAAATCGAGAAAATCGTTAAATTGAGGTTTGTTATATTAAGGTTGCACTGTACTGTAATTTACCAAAATAAAGTACTTAGTTGTTACAGGCCGATTATGAAAACAAATGAAAATATGGGTGTTTTATAAAAAATATTTAACACGATAATTACATGCTTAATATGTGTTATGTAATTGTGAGATAAGTAAATTTATTCTTACCTGTCCACTTCTTCCAGCAGTTACGAAAAAGCTTGCGATATCTCCGCTTAATTTTGGTTTAACAGGAAGAAATATTTGTGATTCCTTTTATGGAAAGATATTAAATGTTTCCTCAAGCTTGGAGTGTTTCTGTTTTTCATTTTTATTTCAACTTTTTTATGTTGGCACAATTTACACAAGGCAGTTTGGGATGCATGAATTATTTCGAAAAACTCCTCAAATTTGCTTTTGAGTCTTTTAGATCTGCAACTCAAACTCTCATTACTCGGACTAGAACCATTTGAATCTTCGTCACTCATATTAAATTGTAGACGTGATACGTTTTCCGAAAACAACCAGAATTAGTAAAAACTATTATTACGTTAGACTGTGCTGTGCTTCGAGCTCAATTAAAAATGACTGGAATTAAAATAATTCCTTTTTTATAGTACATTTCCTTGCTTTCTACCGCGCCGCCACGGCACGTACCGGCTCTATTAAAAGGATGCCGCCGCAAATCAAACGATGCCGCGTGCGGCGTACAAACACAGATTAATACCTACTTGTACAGATGCGTGACATTGTACCAATCACTATTCTTTACATATAAGTGAATGTTTTGTCGTACATCTATACTAATATTATAAAGCTAAAGAGTTAGTTTGTATGTTTGATGACAGAAGTTTTAAAATAAATAAATAAATCCTGAACGTCACTATACCTCCAAAGTTACTATTCCTCGTGGACGAAGTCGCGGGTACTGCTAGTAAATACTTACTCTCATCATCTCCCTCAGAGATATTCGGGCTCATAAGCAATACAAAAATCCTATCGCAGGCTTTTTATTTTAAAAGTAGGTAGGTACGCTTTTTATACTATTTAATTAGTTTTGTAGAATTTTTTTACACGTTTCAAGTATGTTTAAAAGTGGCTACAATATTTATAAAACGGGTGATATTTGACCACTTTTTTGCTATTTTTTCTTGCAAAAAATTAAGAAATTTAAGAAATATTTTGACTAAATATACAATAATAATACCTAAGTAATTACTTTAAACCCATATAATCTATATTATAATATATACTTACTAGAATAAATTATTATGACATCTACTACCTATCCTTACCATTATCTAATCATAATACTACTTGCGTGATCAGTATAATGTATTCGTTTCCATTCTAAGCACACTGAAACTTATTTATTCTTTGGAACACCTGTGCTCTTAAAACTATACCTAGGCCCTGTGGCGGCAATCAATTATGCGCCGATTACACTACCCAATCTATCGGGCCCGATATATCGGCTTCGATTTAGGGCGGTTTGCGTCGTTGTGATAACACTGCACTAGATCGCCTCCCTAACTCAGTTGGCATGCAAACGTGGCGTTGAAAGGATGGCTCCTGCGCTCACAAAGTACCAAAAAATTGGCATAGCCCATACTTTAACTGCGGGCGTAAATAATAAAACAAAATGTTGGGTGAAAAATATTTGCTTCTAAGAGACCAACTATGCAGTTTGAACTACTACAGAATGAGTTCTGCACAATTTGATCATATATTAAACTTAGTCATACCTTATATAGCGCAAAACAGCGGTTAGCTGTGCTGTAACCTTAAAATTTTTAGCAACGGGAAATGCATATCATGACTTAAAGTATAAATACTCAATAAGTTTATTGTTTCCATAGGTAATTTAAAATAATGTTACATAATTAAGTTAGTCTCACTATGGACCCTATCGGGCACAACAATAATATAAAGGAGGAGCATTAGTTTTTATTATTGTAATTTATAAAAAAAAATATAATACATAATTATAAATTTTCAATTTCGCTAAAATCATTGATATCAGAACCCCTGCTATCAAAAATTGTACCAGACACATGCAGGGCTATCTAGAAATGTTTAAAACATTATATCATATATATATATATATATATAGAAGACATTTTTCTCTGTTCGCAAATTTCGTTGTCGTTCACTGACGTCTCGCGCGCACGCTGCGTAGCAAAGAGTAATGTAATATAAAAAGTGAAAGAGTAGCAACTCTACGGAAAATTTTGCATGTATGGAAAGTGCTGCCAACTGGAGTTTGGTCAGTGAACTATTTTTGCCAACTATACTATACATAGCTTTTACGTATAGATATGTTTTTGTATACTTCCATATATATAGGTATTATCTGTAGCTATTCTTAACTTCGTATTTATAGTCGAGAAGTAATTATTTGAGAAAATGTCTATTGGCAAAAGACATTAGCTTGTTAAGACATTTTCTCAAAAAATTACTTCTCTCGAATATAGATGAGAGTGTTTAAGATGTTTTTTTTAGGTAATTGGAAATAAGTAAAAAATAATTTGTATAATTATACCTTTATTAAATATTACATTATTTCTTAGTGGCATAACTTTTATGTTTATTATAATACTCTGTAGCCGCTTTTTTATTTTATCGTCTCCTTGATAGGACATTGTTCCATCTTATATTCTATTTATTGCTCTAAACCAGCTATAAATAATTATGTTTATAGATAAATCAGTGAAATATTTGGTGATGCTATCTTTATGTTTATCACAATTTAAAAAAGCAAAACAGAAAACATTTCTAAAAATGATTTGATTCGATGTTTTAAAAATCTTTCACGGCAATTACTATTGAGAAATACAATTGTAACATTTTGGATTTCTTGAAAAGAAGCGAATAAATCATCTGACGGATAACAAAGCCACATCTTATTGGTTTTGTATTCTTTGGCTTTAATGTATCGGTTTGTTTCCTTATCTGCGAGACCTATTTACTTACTTTTACAATTTTACAACCTTTAACAATTTTTTGCAGACATTTGGCTAAAGCCCACCCACAAACATATGCTCTTTGATCAGCCCCTGCATCTGAAATGCTTTTATTATTTTGTATAACATTCAAAGCTTGATCTAAAACTATAGTATGAGACTGTGAGGGAGTATCACTTACATTCTTATTCTCTAGGAAGAATTTCAGAGATTTGACATTTATTTGTATCTTCTTCGCAATTAGAATTAATAGTATGGTCACTGCTATAATTGTTGAGTAATAGTGTCTTAAATGCTCCCTCAAATCCTACTACATGACTAGCAAATTTATTAGTTTTTTTATTACCAAAATGTTCAAAGTCAACAAGATCATCCGTGTAAACATTATAGTGAATGTGTGGAGATATCGACATTTCATCAAATACTAATGTACACAGATGATCTTGATATAACATTTTCTCAAAACTTATTTTTAGTTCTTTAAAAACTTGTTCATTTATATCTGGTGACAATTTAATTTGAGCAAGTAAAGATGTTAAAACTTTTTGAGATGGAAAAGTGAAATGCTTACACGTCTGTTTATAAGCCTTAGGACTTTTTTTATACAATGAAAGTTATAATATTCTTTCTTCCAACATAAATCTACGATCTTTTTTTTTCTTTTGTCCCTCTTCAAATTGCATCCTGGTAAACATATTTGCAGATTCTGACATGTTCTTTGTTAGTTCATCCATCTTGACACTGTTTTTTTCATGTACCATCAAAGACATTCTTATTTTCCTAATTTTTCGCCGTAATCTATAGATTTCATTTTTCATCTGCCTTTGTTTCTTCCCACACTTTTTCTCCTTTTCTTTTTCTAAAAATTCAAGTGTTTTACCTGAAAAGCATAGTTCTATTTAGTTTCTTTTAATTTTTGCAAAACATTTATATTTATGAGAACACAGTAACAGTAAAGGATTTATAATTATCAGTCACATTTTATAGCAAGCTAGTAATATTCTATAACACTACAATTTTAGAGTAGATAAATATTTGATTTTGTTTATAAAAAAAACATAAGATTTTTGGTCATTTTATGATTTCAATAACTAGATAGTATACAGATGTCTATGAACTGATTCAATATCAGTTTAATATAACTAAAGACTTCTATATATATTGTACCTTCATAACATTTCATTTAGTTATCCCTTACCCTTTACAAAACCTAAACAATTATGGTGTCACAATTTTAATTCTGAACAGCTTGGCTAATAGTATACATAGAAGGCTTTGAATTTAACATATAATTTTATCCTTACATTGTTTAATTAACAAACAAAATTGATGTTAACTGAAAATACCTATATATTTATGGAGTTTCAATAAATATAGATAGGTATGTTGTAAATAAATAGAAAACATATGTTACCTGAATCAAATTTGGATTGTGAAACTTGAGGATGACATATTTCACTTGATGTAGATGGACCATGCTGATAGAGCCTAGATGGACCAGGTTTACTGACATCATTTTGTATGTTAGTTACATCGGACAAAAGTGTAGAATGTGAAGATTCCCTTCTAGAATGACAGTAGTTATGTTCAATATCCACTAAAATATTTATAGATTGTTTCACACCTAAAACAACATTCATTACATTAAAAAAGTTCATCTTTCTTCATTACACATTCAAAAAATTCATTGACAAATTTGATAGCCTGAAAGGAATACATTGATAGTAAATAGATATATGGAGTAACTCGGTGGCATAGTGGATAAGCGCCGCGTCCCGCGATCGTAGCTGTTAAGCAACTTTCGCAAGGGTCAGTCACGGGATGGGTGACAAAAAAATTATTATGTCCAGCTACTCCGTGCCGTTAAGCTGTTGGTCCCAGCTGCATTTGCAGTTGTTAATACCCTCCAATCCGCATTGGGCCAGCGTGGAGGGTCATGGCCCATCCTCCTTAACAATCCACAAGGAAGGCCTGAGCCCCTGCAGTGGGGACGTAAAAGGGCTGGTGATTATGATGATGAAATAGATACATAAACATACGGTCGAAAATTGTCGGTATAGCTGACCAAATGAGACGTCCTCCAGTAGTTTTAAACTTCGTCTCAAAATGATGATTCTCTTGTTTTTATAAATTTTTTGAGGATTGTTTTCACCAATATTCTCACTAACTGCAGACATCCAAGCAGTAAATAATGCGGGGCGCTTATCGGGATTTGGAAATCGATGCAGAGTTACATTTTGGATTCGCTAGGTGCACGATGGTAGGCGCCAACTAGCGGTTACAATTATGTCGGACATTGAAATGTCAAATGGTTGGCATTTAGTACGAATAATAAGTTAACAAACAATAATTTTATTGAAACAGCGTAATTTACTGAGATTTTATTCGATTATGAAGGTGTCGTTAATAGTGTTGATCTTTTTTATTTTCAGTCTAAAATGCCACAATCAATTATGGAATAGAAAGTCATACTACTAGTACACAATTATCTACAACATTAACAATAAAATTTCAAATTGTAAATATAATCACTACTTCTCGAAGGCTATAGATATTCACTATATAATAATAATAATAATAATAAATTGTCCTTAAAACTGTTTCATCTTGCTTGATTATATGTACCTATAACTTTGACATTAAAATTTGATTATTCAACTAGATTTCATACAAAATTTGGCACAAAAAATATATTTTAGATACAATAAAAAAGGTAAATTAATATGATTTTTTTTTTAAAATGACACTTTTACGTAACTTGTAAATATAAAAATATGTAATTTACATTTTTCTATGTACTCATACTCCTATTTGGTGAAGCTACAGCTTAGTAATTTTGTTCTTGTTTCCAACTCACTCGAGGAAATCTATAAAATGCACAAATATGTAAATTTATTAAGTAAAAAGTGTCATTTCGGTCCGACCGAGTTTCCGTCTTAGCCACGGTGCGCGCTGCGATCGATTCGTGTTCTCCCACCTCCTACTTCGCACCCAGCGAATAGCAGAAATAGGAATGATAGTTATGTTAATGCCGAAAACTTAATGTAAACATCATTCACATCATTTAAATCCTGTTTAAGGCATCTCGATGTAAAGCGACATGAAATGCAGCTTAAATATAGTTTTTTATTGCTTGAGTGAAATCATAAATCATTTAGACCTACTCATTTAGAACTTACCTATCACAGCCAAAAATGCAATATTTCTTCTGAACTCAACTCATGATTACGAAAGTAACCAAAACAAAGTTTATCAAATAACAAACAAGAAAACACAGTTTTAACAAAGAAAATAACAAGAAACTTAACAAAAACACTAAAAATATAAGATTTTAACAATAACAAAAACACCGCGAAATTTAACAAGCGCATCAACATCTACAAGCAAGCCAGACAGAGTTGACAATGGCAAAATAGACCGGCCATATGTCTGTCATATAAATTTGACAACCAAAGCTTCACTAACCAATCTCTAGAGGTCGCTGTCGGCTACGAAAATTGGCATACTGTGAAGAGTGCCCCCCCTGCTGCGTAGCAACCGACTGAGCGCTCTAACACCCTAACAGCGATCACATTACCCGATAAATCGGCCCTAACTCTCATCGGGCGGTCGGGCGCCCACGTTCTCCCGATATCGGGACCCTAACTCTCTAACTGCGATTAGACTACCCAATTTACAGTGTACCCGATGGATCGTGCCCGATAGATTGGGTAGTGTAATCGGCGCATTAGTGTCAAATGTTGTGATTTCGGCGCGGCGGCACCGATTGTTGTTGTGATTTCAAAAGAAGCCGCCGTCGCGTGTATCATCACCATGTACTTCCGAAAAGCGGCAAATTTCTTTGAGAAGTCAGTACAAAACCTTTGATGCCGCATTATCAAAGTGCCGATGGTTAAAACAAAACTATACATGCACTCTCTTTGATTTTAATGGATATTTTTTTATTCGCTATGTATTCTTATGGTAGGTATTGGTCGTAATGCGCATAGGTCCAGTTTTTCATATTCTTTGATACAGTTTTTTGCGTCTCATAGAATTCCTAAGCGTACCTATACACCTAACTGTTATTCCTAACTACTCCGTGAAATAGCGCTAAGTGCTAAGTCCTAGCTGCAAGACGCAAGAGTCTTGCGGGATTAGTCTTGTTCTTGCTTAAGTCTTGTCAGTCGGTCTTGGTCTTGCTAAAAATACGACTGAAGACTGCAAGACCGAGACTGAATTTGGGCAACACAAATTTTATTATTATTATTGATACCATATAGTATTTTTATTATTAATGTCATTATTTTTATTATAATTATATAAACTATAATAACTGCACTGGAAATCGAAACCGGGATCTCAGAGATGGTGTCACTTTGAAATCAGTATGCTATGTCTTCGACGATATCGTTTGTTAGTTTAATTATATAAATGATTATTGTTTTTAAGGCTCCTGCATTGCCAGCTCGCCCGGTAGAATCGTGGGTGGTGAAGTGACTACGATCGACAGATACCCATCAATAGTCCAAGTGGAGGCCTCAGGAATTTTTACACAGACATGGTCACAGGTGTGCGCCGCTAACATCCTCAACTCCTTATATGTCCTATCTGCTGCTCACTGCTTTGTTGGCATGTAAGTAGCAGTTGGTTACAAAATCGCAAATCTTTTACCCTCTCTTTTTGTAAGTTAAGGGTCTTTAATGGTTTTGTGGTTTAGGCCCTAAAAGGTATTGACAGAATTTTTTTAATTATTTCTATCTTTATATTTATTCACACTTAACAAAATTGCCACTTTATAAGTTGTTTTCATTACTTTCTTCATTATCATCATCAGATATGGAATTGGAACGAATCGAATGGGGACAATGGGCAATGACCCGTCACGCGGGCTGAGCTGATCGTTGCGTATTAAAGACTACAGATACAACCAGGATCTGGCTTAACGTGTCTTCCGAAGCACGGAGGAGTGAGAGATAATATTTTTTTCGTCACCCATCCTTATGAAAGGCCCATGCGAAAGTTGCTTAACTCCTGCTTCTCAGACCGAATGTGATAATTACTGCACCATTGAGCTCCTAAGTAAGTTTAATATATTAAAGGATATCTTTTTACCACATACAAAATCGATCCTCATTTCAGATTTTACCAGCCATCATTTCGCCGGATCCGAGCTGGTTCCACTTTCCGCAATACCGGCGGTAGCGTCATTAACGTTGCTCAAGAATTCAACCACCCGTCTTATGGTACCCCTGGCATGGGCAATGACGGTGATATCACAGTGGTCCGTTTGGTTCAAAATATAATATACAATCCTGTGATCCAACCAGGCGCAATCGTCCCTCAAGGTTTTCAAATTCCCGATAATATGCCTGTTGTTCATGCTGGATGGGGAACAACTTCGGTAAGTAAAAGAATCGACTTGAAAAACTGTTACTTCATTATACAAATTATGATTCTAATAATACGTTTTTTTAAATAATAAGATTTTTTTTATTGCAATAACAGTTATTAAAGGGATTGCTATAATGCAGATACCTTATGTTTATGAAGTCCTCAAAATTTTGGTCCATTTGCATTTGTTATGAGCTAGGAGTAAATTTTTATACGTTTTCTATTGTAATTGTTGTAATTATTGTTGAAGTAAGTGCAAAAACCTGTACGCCTACTTTTTGTTAAGAGCTGTTTCAACTGAACATCTTGTTTTGTAATTAAGTATTTAACGTGTTCAACCTTCTGACTGAAAACTCTCTGTTTCGTTAGATTAATACATTTCTTGGTAAAATATTTTGTTCCTGCAGGAAGATGGTCCGTCATCCGAGCAGCTGCGTGACGTAACTATTTACACAGTCAACAACGATCTCTGCCGTGAACGCTACATCGCCACTTTAAACCCTAACATGGTCGTGACCCCTAACATGATCTGTGCTGGTATACTCGATGTCGGCGGTAAAGACGCCTGCCAGGTAAGTGTAACCTTCAACATTTTTTTTTAATATTTGTGGCGTTTTTATATTTCTTTCTGGTTGTTTGTCTTAGCCTACGGATATTTGCTCACTAACCTAGAAGTAACAAGTGTATATGCACTTGTGAAATTCGATGGTTTCGTTAGGTATCCAGTAGTCGTTGGTTCGATTCCAGCCTGGTAGAGGAGATGCTTGTTATTATACTGTATCGTCTACATTCTATTGATAATATTGATTCTCAGTTAAGTAATTAAAGGTACTTATTATAGTGGCAATGTGTATTTCCTAGTAGTTGTGTAATTTATGAATATATTAAATTCCGACGAATCAAGTGGTAGGTTGTATCTCTGAAGAGGTGAATATTAAAAATAATTTCTGAATGCGATGTCGCAAAATGGGTCAAGTATATCTATATGTAAACATCATAAAAAATGGATATACATTTAGCTAAGTGCTTCATTAGTGATTGATGAAACATACTGTCGCTGTGTTTTTAAACGACTGCCCAAAACTGCAAGTTCTGATTTTTTATATTTGGCGACATTTTCTTACTATTTATGTTATACTATACAACTTCATCGTTCGCAAAGAGATGCACATTCGTCCTATCTTTACGATATTCACTTTTCAAAGTTCAAGTTACCGTAATTCTTAAAATAGGCTAAATTAGGTCCTAATCTTTAAATGACTAAAACTACCCTAATCTATTATTGGCCAAACTGGGTTATCTGCCCACGTCATTTATGGTTTGGACATAACATCGATATTTGCGTTATTTGAGATGAAACTACGAATCGTAGTAGGTCCTTAATTCACTTGTCATATTCATAGAACAGATAAAATATAAGAAGTAGCCAGTGTGGCATATGCCATACGAGACTACGCTCAGTCGTCATCGAGATAAACTAGCGGTGTTACTGACAAAAATTGCTTATTATATAATACAACAATGTGAAAAAAGAGAATGCAAAAAAATGTTAATTAAATGAAGGTACACTTCTTTTAATTTGGTTCTGTGCTCATGTGTGGGAACGCCCATATGGTTACTGAAAAATAATGAATTTCCTATTTAACAGGGTGATTCCGGCGGTCCTTTGTACTACTCTGATGTTCTCGTTGGCGTCGTATCTTGGGGTGAAGGATGCGCAAACGCAACCTTCCCAGGCGTCAGTACGGCCGTAGGCTCATACACAAACTGGATTGTGTCTATTGCCGTTTAAATATGACAATGCATTTGTGAAGATCGTAAAAATAAAATAACATTTATGCACTTTTTGTTTTATTAAACAGCCTTATAATGCGATGCGGGGCGCGACACTAAAATTTCATAGAATAGTCCCGTAAGAGTACAAGATTTTATGATTAAACTGTTGATTGACCGAACTGTTATAACCCAACATTGTACTTGAGAATAGCTGACAATACGTTCAGTACTTTTCCATAGAAACCATGTAAATGTAAAGTGCAAGATTGCATATACTATTATTATAATAATTTTAATATTTTAAAGTTAGTTCGGCATTAGCAACCGCGAAGAGCAGTCTTCATTAGCTCTCCACGTTTCGGGATCTAGGAATCAGAGTGTTGGTTATCCTAATAAAAGTAGGAATAGTAATTGTGGTTTTTTTTTAAAAAGACGAATAGAGCGAGTCGCAAAACAATTGGTGTCAGAAGTGGGATGCTGTAAGTGGCTTCCGTCGAAGTCCGTGCATCTGAATCTAAGGCCCCTATTCTCGTCTAATTTCGCGAAGTGATCGACATTAAGTCTCAGCCAAGTCTGAGCCTGCATCAGCCGCGACACCACAAGGTCGACGATCAGCCTCCGCTCTGTAGCGTGAGCCCGCACCACCACATCAGAACACCGACACCGAGCATCCTAGAGAGGTCGACGGTTAGTCTCCGCTGTAGATCGTGAGCCCGCACCAGCTCAGCTGCCAACTCATTTTTACCATCTTCAACCACGTGGAATATCCACGTGCGTCTCCAATTTCCCTGTCGCCGTGAGAACCGCGCCGCTGCCCGCCGCGCGTCTCCACCCTCCGTCTTCATCGCCGCCCGTGCTAAGTAGCGCGAGCCTCCAACCACGTGCAACAAATAAGTGCTAATGATAGTGAAGGTGAATACCATATTACTGTGAGTGTCCAAAATTTTATCTTAATATTTTACTCTATAAATAGTCTATATTTGTGAATTTTCCTAATCCTTTTCTTATCACAATGTCCGTCAAAGACGACCCTACTTCAAAGGTTACAATAAGTTTCCTTTCAAAATTCATACGCCCTTACAATGGCGATCGAGATTCACTTCCCGCCTTCCTTACAAATTGCGATAATGCAATATCTTTGGCAGCCTCAGACCAACAGAATATATTAACAAAATATATATATTCTCAATTAGAAGGCAAAGCACAGTTAGCCTGTAGTTTAAAAACATTTAATAACTGGCCTGAATTAAAATCATTTTTAAAATCTACATTCGGTGAGAAGAAACACTCATCGCATCTGTTATCCGATCTTCAAAATTGCAAACAAATGAGTAACGAAACTATAACACAATATTCTTTACGTATAGAAGCTTGCCTCACCAGATTACAAGCTGATATACACTATTCATGTCATGATAAAAATCAACTCATAGGAAGAATCGCCGCTATAGAAGATCTCGCTCTTCACACATTTATAACAGGGCTTAACCCTAGTATTTCAACTATTGTGAGATGTCGTAATCCAAATAATTTAAATGATGCCATAACACTTGCTGTTGAGGAAGAAAAATTATACAACCTCAACAAGATATCTTCTCGTAGTATTAAATATTGCCAAATTTGTAATAAACAAGGTCACAATTCATCTGAGTGCTACCAAAATCGCAATAAATCCCGTCCTCATTTACACAAATCCTATCATGTTCCTAATAATTCTAATAATGTTTTTAGTAATTTTAAATGTAATTATTGTAAAAATATAGGTCATACTATAGAATTTTGTCGTAAACGGCAGTATAATATGCAACGCCGCGAAAACGCTAACCAAGCGCAACGTGACTATCAGTCGCCACGCGCAACTACCAGCAGTGCTGTGAAGTTATGCACTTCTAACGAGACCGGGTTCGATTCCCGTACCGATAATAATTTAAACTAAATAAGATTTCGGTTCCGTGTCTACTGAAATCTCAATTTCAATTGAACGACACGAAAAATTTTTCTATATCTACTAAATCTTCTAAATCTAATACATCTCAAGAGGCAAAGCCTCTGAGTCTATTTGCATCTCGGGCACAGACTCCGAGTCGTACTAAAAGTTTAATTAATACTAAATCTTATACCAAATCTTATCCTAATTCTTATTCTAAATCTTATTATACACCTCAGTGCAGCCATGAGCCATTGAGTCTTAATAAAACTATATCATCTCGGCAATGTCAAGGACAACCGAGTCATACTCATTTCTCACCTCAGCCTCCGAGTCTGAGTTTTAAAAAATCTACATCTCGAGACACGATCCCGAGTCAAACATCTCAGCATCAATCTTCTATATCTTTAACTAATTCAAATAATGAGCTGAGTCCTACTAAATCATATCATTGTTATCCTAATTCCCAAAATAATTCAAATAAATTCGACCACGAGTCGCATACTATATCTTCTAACTTCCGAGATAATAATATCTCTTGTAACATTCCTATATATGAAACTAATATTAATATAAATAAAATATCTTTACCCCATATTTTTCTAAAAACTAATTATTCCACTGAACCTTTACGATTTCTAATAGATACGGGTGCAAGCATAAGTCTCATAAAACAATCAAGTTTAAGTAAAACACCCGAATTATCTCGCGAAAGATCTCAGATAAAAGGTTCTTTTAGATTTACTCAATTTACGGAGTGTGATGTTAAGAAGAGCATCTTATCCATTAGCTCTAATGCGGTCGGCGCTGATGGAATTAGCCGTAATATGTTGATACCTATACTCGATTTCATACTTCCTGTCCTTTCTCTTATTTTCAATAATTCCACTTCAAAGTCTGTTTTTCCTTCTGCTTGGAAAGACGCTCAAATTATTCCTCTTCCTAAAAAACGCCTTCCGAAATCCTTTTCTGACTTTAGACCTATCTCCATTCTTCCATTCCTTTCCAAAGTCCTTGAGCGTCTTATCCATAACCAGTTAAATTCTTTTCTTACTCGTCATGATCTCTTGAATCCTTTTCAATCCGGTTTTCGTCCAGGCCATAGTACCACTACCACTTTAATTAAAATCACCGACGATATCCGGTTTGGAATGGAAAACGGTCTTCTAACTATACTAACACTGTTGGATTTTAGTAGTGCTTTTAATACTGTCAACTTTGACATCTTACTGGCTCTGCTACGCTCTATTAACATATCTCCACCCGTAACTGAGTGGTTTCATAGTTATCTGTATGGACGCCGGCAAAGAGTACGTATTGAGGAGAATTATTCCTCTTGGTGCGATACGACTGCTGGTGTTCCACAGGGTAGCGTTTTATCTCCTCTGCTTTTCGCGATTTTCATCAATTCTATTTCTCAGAAACTTACTTTTTCCTACCACCTTTACGCAGACGACCTTCAAATCTACTGTCAAGCTCCTCCTTCACAGCTCATCGAGGCAGTACACATCGCTAATACTGATTTAGATCATATAGTAGAATGGAGCAAGTCCTTTGGTCTTAAAGTTAATCCTGCCAAGACTAATGCAATGATAGTAGGTAGCTCTAGGTTGACCTCCAAATTGGACTGGCATCTGTTACCTAAGATTAACTTTGATGGGACTGACATCCCTTATAGCGTATCAGTAAAAAACTTAGGTATAATCTTTGATAGTAGTTTGAGCTGGGGACCTCAATTGCAATATGTAAGTCGTAAACTGTATGCTTCTGCTGCGTCACTGAGGAGGTTGCGTAACTTTTTGCCGACTGCCACTAAACTTGCTCTAGCACAATCTTTGTTGCTTCCAATTCTTGATTACGCCGATGTCTGTTATCTCGATCTTACGGAAGACCAGCTTAATAAACTTGAGCGGCTCCAAAACTTCTGTATTCGGTTTATATTTGGATTGCGCAAATATGATCATATATCTCAATTTCGTACTCAGCTCAAGTGGCTTCCAATTCGTCTTCGCCGGAATGCTCATATATTATCCCTCCTTTACAATATTTTGTTTAACCCCCTTTATCCGCGCTATTTGAAAGAACGCTTCAATCCGCTATACTGCTGTACTTCATTTTCCTTGAGGTCATCGGAAAACCTGAAACTTGAAACCCCTCTCCATACAACTACTTTTTATGATGGCTCTTTCACTGTCCAAGCTGTGCGTCTTTGGAATGCTCTTCCGACTTCCATAAGACGCGCTCAATCATTAAATATCTTCAAAGAATTGGTAAAAGAACACTATTTATCTGTTTAATATATTTTAACTGCTAATAACCCCTTCTTCAATTCATTAGTATTTATATGTATCATATTTTATATATTTATGTATTATGTTATATGTATTTATGCAAGTATATTATATTTGTCAACTTCTGGTGTCTATTATTATGTTTCAATGATTTATTTGGAATTACCTACTTTAAGTTTACACCCCCGTTTCGTTATAATTAACATTCCTATCCATCCAATGGTTGTCTGGCAGAAATCGCTTTCAGCGATAAGACCGCCATTTGTTACACTTTGATGTATTGTTTAGTTTGTAAAATCTGTGAAGATATCTGTTGTGTTGACAATAAAGTGTTATTATTATTATAAATAACACTGAATTTTGCTCCGAAACATTAGGTACATCTCAAATAGATTTTTTCTTATCTGAAGATACTTACAATTATAAATTTCATATAGTAAACGATGACATCAATTTAGAATATGATGGCATCATCGGTAGTGATTTTTTAGGTTATTTTAAAGCCGATATAAACTATGATTCGAATTTAATATTTATTTGCGGACAAAGCCTGGACATTAACTATGTTCAGCCAACTTATATTATTCCTGCACGCGCCGAAGCAGTTATCGAGTGCGCGGTGTCAAATTTCTCGCCTGAGCATTATCCGAATAATGAAGGGCTACTATTAGATCACACCTTTAGTGACAGTGTGTATTTCGCTAACAGCATTGTAACAATAAAACCTAACAAGAGAATTAATATCACTATCTAAAATACTACTTATTCTGATATTGAGAAAAACAATACAATCAGCGAATCATCTCAATTTATTAATTCCATTTCATATTCTAGTTCGAATCGAGTA